CCTTGGCAGCTCTGGGCCCTGCTGTGCTGGAGGGTCCCTGTGTGCCAGCGGCAGCTGGGGGCCTCAGCCACTTTCTTTCTCTACAGGAGCGCCTCTGCACCTCCAGATGTCCGGCCAAACAGCTCAGTGTTGTGAAAAATGAGGTTCACATATTTTTCTTATAGAATTTAAAGGTTTAATGAAAAGATAACTAGAAGCTAATAATAAAGTAAAGTATACAGATACAGCTGGGTGTCTCTGCATTCAGCCAAGAGAGCACACCTTACTGGCAAAGAATTGTCCCTTAAAAACAGAATCCTACTACATATCCATAAATTCTCATGCATATTCATACATTCTTCTTAGGATCTTTGGTGTTCTTCTGTTTAGTTTTCTCTTGCCCCCTTCCCAATAGATCAATCTTCTTGGCGCCAACGAGATTTACATTCCCTGATAACAGAAATGCAATAAATTCCTCCCCCAGAGTTCTGGTCACTGCTGTCTTCATCTGGATAAGGTAGTTTCTGAATGTAGGGGGCATCTCCAGCTATCTTTTGCAGTCTTTGGGTTATACAAACTAAAGTAGTTTTTGTTTTAATACTATGCTGTAATAAATTAATCTATGAGTAAAAATTCGTAAAGGGTATAAATAAAATATATATATATGTGATTCCAATGGCATAAAATACAACATGTAGTGGGAATAAGTCCTTCTCCGGATCTGGTCGTGATTCTCCTCCGAGAGGCAACAGATTGCAGCCAAACACCCAGATAACGATCACAAGCAGGCACATCAGCCCAGGCCATCGAACAAACAAAAGAACGGGCCCAGACGAGATATCGCCGGACCTGAGCACCTCCGCCCTGCCCGCCTGTGTTGGAGAAGTGGAAAAAAAACTAGACAAAGGAAGAGGAGCCAGCCGAGATAAGCCATCGGCTCCAGGATGGGTCCCACCACTCCACCCTAATGGCCCGGACCAAAATGATATCAAAAAGACATCCTGGACCTCTTTACATATGAGGAGCCTCTGCCCAGCGTCTATTGACTCTATTCTCCGGTGCCAGGAAATCTATTCTTCGAACAATCAAGAACCTCTTAGCGAAGGGTGCCTGCTTGGAATTTGGCCTCGGGACACAAACTTCCTATAAAAACCCAGGCCAAGTGACTCTCAGGCGTGGATTTGGGAGCACCTATACCTTGTGTATAGACCCTGTCCACCCAGCGCTGCGCTGCTTATTTTATTGTTGTTTTTTCTCGTTGTTCGAATTTATTATTGTTTTATAATAAATTTCTCTTTTATATAACCCGAAATTGCCTTTGCATTTATAACACAATGCTTTGATAGGCTTCTAATTCCCCAGAAGGGATTGATCCCCTTTTCTGCACATTCGTAAAGGTTATATCCTTCATGATGAATGCACCCTTTTTCCCTCTTCTCTAAGGACCAATATTGGTTGGGCTCTTGGGGAACTCATTTAATTCCTAGATTCTTCATTATAAGATATCTTTTGCATGCCATCCGCCCCACCAGGGTTCTATATCTTTTTCCAGTTTGTAGAATACAGTCTTCCCCAATTACCTTAGCCTTTAATTCCCACTTTTTCCCTTCTCCTATACCCTGGTGTTCTTTGGTTTTCCCCAGTTCGTTTTATGCTTAAAATTTCTCGAGGTTTTAAGCTAATTCCCTCCCAGGGCCAAATATCAGACATTTTAGTACTCCCACATACCCAACAATCAGTTATATTTA